CCCCAAAACCCCAAAACCCCAAAGGTTGTATATTTGGCTTATAACTCGATATTATTATTTGAATCTGAATTATAATTAAAGTATAGAGCTTTTTCTTAGACAAAAGTTATCAGACAATATATTTTTTTATATGATCAATAATTTTTCCCTCTACCAATTCGCTCAAGCAATTAGCTGTATCTTTCATTGATCTATCGATGCCAAAATTAGTTACAAGGTCAAAAATAGACATATTTTCATTTTCTCTTTATATACTTTCTTATTCCTACTGATTGAGCTTATTTATCCCACAAACAATAACTAATGGCTTGGAATGTTTCTTGCAAAGCTCATGTATTTTACAAACTACTTTTCCTTCTAAAGTTTGACTGTCAAATGATCCCTCACCTGAAAATATAACTGAAGAATCTTGTATCTATTGTTCTAAGTTTATGAGTTAACTTATATAATCCATGCCACTTATTACTTTAACATCAGAAAAATTGGCCAGTAAGCATGCCACTAATCCACCAGCTGCTCCTGTTCCTGGTGTATCTGCTATGGTTTAAAGATATTCCTGAGAATAATTATTTCCAAATCTTGAACGTAGATAGAATTCGATGGTTGATATCATATTTTAGTCTAACTTTTCTAAATCACCCTATTAAGCTCCCTTTTAAGGTCCAAATATAAAGGCCGCACCATTAGGTCCAACCATTGGATTTTAAACATCACACGGCAATATAAATTCCAAATCTTTCAATCCTTTTTAATATTGATCATTATTGTAAATAGTGTTTTCTAGGACATCTACAATGTTATGATAGTTGATAGTTTTCAATTAATTTTAGTCCTTTAATTAATACAATCCTAATCCAATCATAGCCCCGTAACCCCCATCAACAAAAGCTGAACCACCTGAACCTAATATATACCTCTTAATTTGCCAAGTATCATAGCAGTGTTTGATCAATTAGCCAGTGCCCTAAGATATTTTAAAGCATAAATTATTACAATAGATTTAGCTAAGAACGGATTTCTTTCCTCCTTACTTAGCATTTAAAGTCCAGAACTGTTAGCAACTTCTATATAAGCAGATTTATTATCCAAATCTATTAGGAATTAGGTTTCGGTCTCTCTTAGCAAAGGATCAAGTATACTAGTACGTTCTAATCTCACATTTTATTTGCTTTTAAGGATCTGAAACATACAGTTTACAAATCCGTCTCCTCCATCTGAAATAGGTATTTCATTTACTACTAATGGATTAGGCTGGGTGGGCTGTAGTTTTTCTTAAATTTTTTCTCGAACAATTTGACAAATTTAACTGGCCGAAAGAGTATCCTTAAATTTGTCAAAAATCAGCAAAATTTGCTTCTTGTTGGAGGATGTGATACTTTGCATGTTTATTGTAATTCTTAATAATAATGTGATAGATTAATAAAGAAGATATAGAGGCAAATTATTAAATAAATTTAGAAATTGTGAGCTCTTAATGTCGAAGAGCTCATAATCTAAATACTAAAGAGCTCTTTGAGCTTCTTGTAACTCAATCAGTGCCGACGAGGTTGTTGTGGATGATTGGTTGAACGCAAGCTTCGACACAAGTGACGTAGTCTCTCATTGGGTACATGCATGACTTTGTGGGGTTGACCTTGATGATTTTCTCGAGCTGGGTCTCGCATCTCTCTAACTTTTCTTTCCAATACTTGCATTATGGCTTGCAGTCTTCAATCAATTGTGGCTTTGGGTTCTCTCCCTCCTTCAACATAGTCTTCACATAACCTAAAGCCAGATTAGAATCATGATTGAATCAATCAAATGAAAAGTACCTGGAGTTGAAATATGTGGTGACAAACTCTTTTCGTAAGTCATCCAGCCTGGAGTAATCCATCCTGCAATACCTCCTCCCATTTTAATTAAACGCTTAAATAATTATAAATACAATCTCCATTCAATTAATATACTTAAAATTAGAAATTTATAAATTACAATAAAATCAAAATGAAACAATCAATTATCCTCGCTTATTTATTGCTTATTACCTTAGTCTTAGGCTAAGAGGAGCATGTACATAACTTAAAAGACGAAACTGAGGATTAATTGCAAGAAAACCAAAATGAAAATGAAGAGGAACTAGAATATCAAATTAAGATATTCCCTTCCGATTGGTATAAGTAATCGAGAGTTCCTTAGATTAAATCAATGAGAGGCTTTGAAGATTTATTCTTTACTAAAAAGCATATTATCCTGCAGTTTTATGATCCTAAGTGCGCCTTTTGCTACGAATTCTTAGAAGACTATAACCAGTTGTATTACTATTTTATGTAGCATTACGGAGAGGAGCAGATTTAGTTATTTATGATTGATGGGACATAAGAAGGATTTGATTGGGTAATTTCCAAGTTTAAGATTGAACATTGTCCTTATGTAGTTTATATCCCTCCAAAGACTGATGGTTCTGAGGATATGAAGATTGGAGGTAGATTCCAAGGAGAAGTTATGGCCTATCATGATGTTAAGGAATGGATTCTAGCTACTGTTAAAGATTTGAAAGTGAAGGAAGAGACTGATGAGTAAGATAGCTATGTTGACGAAAATGATATTGAGATAATAAGTCCTGAGAGCATTGAGAAGAAAAAGTTTAGAGATACTGCATATGATCATGAAATGGTTATAGAATAGTAAAAAATTAAAGCAGAAGAAGAGAGATATCTAAAAGAGCATAGAATTAGGTAAGAACAAGAAAAGAAAGAGCATGAGTTAAGACATCAATAGCATCTAGAGCAGTAAAGAAAAGAAAGAGAGGAGTAAGATAGATTTTAAAAGGAGTAGATTGAATAGTAGAATTCATAACATTAGCATTAATAAAGCAATCATTAGCATGTTAATGATCCATCACATCAACACATACACTAGTAAAATCATCAGCAGCATAAAAATCATAATAACAGTCAAAATATAGTACACAATAATAGTGCTGGGAATACTCAAAAGACAATTGTAGATCAAAGTGGAAATCAATAGCAACCTGTATAGGATACAGTCAAACCAGAGAATATAATTTATGGATTTACTGAAGGACCAAAAGATAACTCTGTTACTAAAGATCGATAAGAAAAGTTCAACTACCTAATTGCATAAATGCTTGAGATAAATAAAATATTTCACTCAAGAATAGATGAAGTTAGAAAATAAGGATTAAGCTTGCTTAAAGAAATTAATGATCCCAATCAAGAATCGGAGAAAAGTACCAATAAATAGCATAGGGGACTAAAATTTGATTACTTTTACTTGCTGATTGGATATCTGTTTGGACTTATTATGACTTCTATTGGACTTTAAATAGTCATTAAAAATATTAAATAACAATTTACCAAAAAGAAAAAAGCCAGGATTTAAAGCGAGATACTATTTATTCATGACAAATAAGTATATGACGATGATATTGAAACAATAGATGATAATGAATGTAGTGTTGTAGAAAGCTTAAAATAGTCAAATTAGAGGAAACTATTAGGTCAAGTTCAAGAGAAGTCAGCATGAAGTAAGAATGCATTAAGACTAATTCATTCGAAATGTGAAATTAATACATAATACAAATTATTCTCTAAATAGCAAATCATTACATTATTATTCACTGCTGCAGCTTACTGAATTTATCTGAAGGGGTTTTGGGGTTTTGGGGAGATCGGAAGAGCACACGT